GCAGGACTCACAGATTGCACATCAGGAAGTTTTGACAGTTACAGATTTTCAACATCGTATATTCTGCTGTGAACTGCATGTTTTAGAATGTTACAGCATGTGCATTAATTTGCAATTTATTTAGGATTTCTAGAGAAATTATACAATTACTACAAAAATAATCCTAATGAATCAATACCAAGATCAAGTTCAAATGCAGTCCTTGTTTATTAGCACAGAGACATTTATACAAAATGTACAGGTTTTGTAAACATGCTTTCCTGTAATAGTAAAAACCCCACCATCCTAATAAATGCCATGCCTATTAATACAGGCCACTGCAATAATTGAGAAATAGCTTAAGAAAAACTCAAGAGAATAAATACTATTTCGCCCATATATCCTGAACACAACTCCTGACCAATGAACACAAACTGTATTTCCATCAGAGCCTTGCTGAGAATTTCCCAATTAATCAGTCTCCCTGTGGTCTAGGGCCATCCCACAACATTCTCTAGGAGGCTGGAAATAATCTAGGCTCAAACCAGATGTCTCTCCCAAAACTGGAATGTAAGCTCTATGAAGACAGGGATCTCTGATTTTACAGACTGCTGCATTCCTACCACCCGGAACAGTACCTTGCACATAGTAAGCACTCAGTACATACTTCTGAATGGAAATAAGAAGATACAGCAGCCCCAGGATCTGAAGCCAAACTTTCTGAGTCCTGAAATCTACTATTTTTTTTTCTACCAGACTTTATCAGAGAACAATTGCTTTCTGGTTGTTTTAAAAGAAACTTTCCTGCCAACAAATGAGCTAAAGAGAAGGAGAGGAATATTCAATAGGTACAGTCACAAGATCATGACATTACTACCTACAGTTAGACACCAGTAGCCAATTTAAACATAATCTTTATATATAAAAACCCTAATATGCAAATAGACCAAACAGTGGAACAACCAAACAAACCGCTATTATGTGCACTGACCACTAAGGGGCCCGCACAGAACATGGCGGGCATCAGCAGCAGGCAGCAGAGTGCAGAAAATTGCGGGCCTCAGCCATGGCGGGATGGTGGAGCAGGTAAGCAGGGGCACCAGACAAAGGCAGGGCACTGGTCGCTGTCATCAGGACGAGCCTCTGGTGGTTACTGAAAATTCTTTGCTTCTGGGCGCCACAGTCCCGCCCGGCCCTCGCACCTGCTGCTGGCACCGGCCCTGCTCGCACCCGCTACTGGCACCCGGCGCAGTTCCCAATCTCTGCTCAGGGCTTCTCCATCTCCCCCTGCTCCTGAGGGGCGATCCGGACAGCAGCCATGGCTCGCATGCACTGACGGTGCCGGCCCTGCTCGCACCCGCTACTGGCTTCGGCCCCAATCGGTCTGCACTATCAGCGGGTGCGAGCTGGGCTGGCAGTCAGCGCATGGGAGCAGCGGCGGCGGGAGCAGGGCTGCCAGCAGACAGGGGACCAGGGGCCACGGCAGGAGGGGCCAGGCAGGGGCACAGAGGATGGGTCGAGACCCGCCCCTGTGCCCACTGCAGCCTCGCGGCCCACAGTTCCTTTCAAGGTGCACGAATTCATGCACTGGGTCCCTAGTAGAAAATAACAGGAAAAAGATGACACTGCATGAAAACTCAAGGTGGATAGCTAACCATAACTATCTGCCAAAAGAGAAATAAAATTTTTCACTGTAAGGTAAAATGTTCCAATAGTGAAAAAATTTAAAAGATCTTGATTGGTTACCTACAAATACATACATTTTAGACAGAAAAATAAAAAATTCATTTAATCATTCTAGGAAACTGCTTCAGTTTTTCTCTTTTCTTTCTCCTCTCCCAATGTGAAAAAAATTAGACAGTTCTGTGCTCTAGGATGTCAGAAGGTTACTGCCACCAAAGCCAGGTCTGGACCTAGAAGTTGATAGGTTTTACTTCCATTTCCTTTCCGGGCACCAACACACAAATAATATTAATCACAACTAGATAGTTTCAGGAGGCAGCAAGACAGATAATGAAAAAGGCCCAGGGGTCAAATCACCAATTATTATGTGCCCTCACCACATTGCTATCTCTGATTATGAAAACAAATTAAATGCCCCATTTCTAAAGGCTGATATTGATGGAAATTAACATGTTACAATGGTATCTTCCTTACTTATCAAATCTCTTCTCAAATGCTATGAGCATTTGCAAACATGGGATAGTATGTCTTTTTAACGCAGGTGTGCAATAAGTAGCTTGCTCTCCCACTGATGCCCACCTAAAGGCAGCTTTTTATTTCAATCACTTGGTCAGCAGAACTGACACATCCTCCCTGAATTGTGGGGTGACAGAGACAAATCCCAGCAGGAGGGGAAAGCACAGAACGCAGTTACAGCTGTTCTTCCTTCCTCCTCTATTAACACCCTCTATCAGAGAAATTCTGTGAGGGAAATTCTGTGAAGGAATAACAGTTTTCATCCAGTCTGTAAATCAAATGTGCAATACAATTCCAAACACTCTCCTAGAAATAGTTTCCGAAATCACTGAATTTAAACATCTTCATATTTTTTCACACTTCAGAATTGTTTTTCCTTTGTATAAACCAATATAACTCTTTTTTTTTTATTTCATTGTAGCTCATTTTATTTGAGAAGGTTTCTGATTTTATAACAATTCTAACATTCTATTCAGAAACAGTCTCTATAAATACCAATTTTAGATTATTTTGGTTTCCTATTCCAGATTTTTTCCCCTGAAATTTTTGGTTCTGTGGACATAATTTTTATATAGAGTCAGTTATGATAGATGTGTCATATTGCTATTACATGCTCTATAAAATGATGTTGACAAAGAATAATCTTATAGTTAAATAATAATAAATACTAAAAATAAAATTAAACTGTGAACCATTTCTATTGACAGTGTGATTCAGCTTTTGGAGACTTTTCACAATACACTGATTTTAATCTAAAATAAAAACCCCTTTGTGAGTATTAATGTGTGATGTATATTTCCTAAACACCAGAAAATACTGACATCCAAAAATTAAGAATAATTAAGTATATTATGATATATCCTTCAATAGAATAGTAATGAAGAAATTAAAATAGTTTAAAAACCTCCTGGAATAAAAGCTCATGGAAAATAAGAAAAATAGTTTGGAGATTATAATTAACTAAAATATGCAAATATTAGAAGTCTGAAGAGGATAAGCAAGATTATAATTATTGTGTTAGGGTGATGGAGTTATGGATTTTCTTTCTATTCACTTTTTAAAACATGTGTTCTTAAGTTATTTTTCCAATTATAAAGGAGCCAAATAAAATAAATCTAAAGAAGTTTAAAGGTAATACAATAAGACCAGGTGACAGAACAAAGAGGGTGCTAGATTAAATAGAAAAACAAAGTTTAGCTGTTACAGCCATGGGTTTACATTATCCCTGAAAATCGTCTTCCACATTAACAGCACTATCTTGAGAATCTCCCCTGCCTCCTAACAGACACTAAGCTCTTTACTGCACACAATGGAGTTCAGGAAAATGTTACCATATGTACATAGAGAAGAGGCTTTTGCCATACGAAAGAAATTCTACTATTCTGGTAACTTAATTCCTTGAGATGAAATCTAAGATGAATCCCAAGCTTTTACCACATTCCATCTCTAAAACAAAATTCTAACTAGTTTCCTATTTCCCTAACACAGCAGGATTATGTTTACGAAGAAAGTTAGACTGACATGAAAAGATAACTCCAGAGTCCATATTCATTTCAATCCTTAAACCAAGAGAAATCAAAATGTAAACAGACAAATGATGAAAACAAACTAAGTTCCCAAACATTCAGGTTCTGTTTGTTTAACATGAGAATGTTTGCTCAAAGATTATTAAATCTGCTAGTGGGGCAAGGACCTCACAGCAGAAAACAAGTTTATTACACTAAGAATACAGTATAAGAACCTGTCATTGGTACATCAAATCAGGAAAAAAACAATAAATCTCAATTCAGGTGACAATTATTCATATAAATTTTTTCTACGAACATACAATATTTTTATGTTTTTTGAAACCTAAAGACTGTAAAAGATCATTGATGAGCACACTGAATGATGGGAAGATGAACCACCACCACATGGTCAACAAATAGTGACTGAATGGGCATCCTGTGAATGACGCTAGCCACAAGAATAAGAGATAGTAGGTAGCAATCTTCCGGTTCCCAAACTGACTGCCCAACAGGGGGAAAAGTATGCCAACAACACAAGTACAAGGGAAGATTCCTTCATTCAGTCGGTCAGTCACCCAATGTTTACAGAGGGCGCCACCGTATGTCAGGCATCATGGGAAAGCTGAAGAAACACGTGACGGTTTTAAAACAAAAATTGAACAGCTGTCTTCATGAAGCTAATAATTTAAACAGAGAGGTATGCTTTAATCAAAAAATCATGTACGTTAACCCCAAAATCACAACTCTGCAAAAGGCCAGAGAGCAAATGGCAAGTAACTGCACAGTAAGCAAAGGGAGCCCCAACACAGGGTTATCGAGGACTGCACAGAATTGTCAGCGAAGGCTTGGCAGAATGGTAATGTTGAAGCCAAGACTTCCGGAGGGTGACTGAAGGGAAGTGGGCCATTCCAAAAAAGGCATGTAGGTGTACCCAGATATACTGGGAGACGACAAGTCGTTTAGTGGGGTTAGAAAATTATAATAATATGGCAATATCGAACAGGCACGCAAAGACCAGGTTATTATTAAGGGACTTAAATTCCATGCTATGACTTATTTATTTTGTTAGTTGTATGTGTGTGTATGTGTGTTTTTGTTTTTGTTTCATGAGATAATCTAGAATATGTTTTTGGTGCTACGATGAAAAAGTTACACAGATATGACAAAATTTCACGCAATCGGGGAAGTATATTGAGGACACTCATAACTATAACACAGCATGTAAGTAAAGTAGAAACAGAAAATACAGTATGGAGTTATTTCGTGTTTTAACAACATAAGACTTTCCTTTTTCCCCATCAGGTATAAGCTTACCCCTATGACACTCAGTCCTTGCAGGTAGTCCTGGCGCGGCTGGGCTTGAGGAACACATCCAGCCAGCACTATCTTCTTGTTCTCCTCTTGAGCTCTTCTAAAGATTGAAGAGAAGACAGTGTGAACTCCTTTGCTGATAGGTATACCCGTGCAAACTGATGGTAATGCATATGAAATTCTCTAAATAATAACAAGCCAGTCTAGCATGAAACTGGATTTTCTTACAACTGTTTAAAAAAAACATAGTAAGACTTCTGTATGTGTCTATCATACCATAGAAGAGATAGTATAGGAAGTATTCAAAGAATGATTAAATGAATGAATGAATAGGCAGAACATAAAATACTATTTTAACAGCACCTATAAGTGTGTTATTTCAATAATTTAGAGTACTTCGGTACAATTTTTCCACTTGGAATCCTGAAAAAACTTGTTAACAAAATCAAAAAGATCTGACTTCTGTAGATTGCTTAACATATATCCAAGAAAATAATTGCCTGCTTCAACCACCTGGTTTTACCTTTTTATCAGTACCAAGCACATCACTGCACACAAATAGTTTTCTTGTAATAAATGTGAAATACCTTATCAAACAAAAAAATCTTTCCATTTACTTTAACAAACTGTACAAGGAGTAACATCTGGTTTCCACAAGAGCTGCAGCTGTAACACGGAAGATCATTGCCAAACATCCAAGAAAGCCTGTGAGGTCACCAATAATTAAATGCAAATAAAAAGCCTGCTTCCTAAAGTGAATAAGTTAATTATTATGTACATCTAAGACATGATGGTATTTAAGGAAATAGAGTAAAAAGGAATATGTGCCTTGTATTCAACAAGCCTATAGTTTATAATAGATGAGTTATAAAAGGACATAAGCAACACAACATCAAATAAAATGCCCTTAGTGGCAAAAGATGTACTCGCAATATATCATGGAGAGAAAAGAATGTGCACCTCGAAAAAGCAAAAAAGCTTCTCAAAACAACTGGGTGAAGTTTAAGGGGAAACAGAAGTTTGGGGGGGGTGGGAATGGAGGCAGAGAAAACTTCAGGAGTTGTCATATCATGGACAAAGACAAGGAGGAAGAAAGAAAGGAGAAAATATCTCATTATAGAAAGAATTTCTGTATAAGGGAGACTAATGGGATGTATATTGCAGAAGGAGCCTTAAGAAAGAGGATGGATAGTATTTAATTTAGTGGACAATGGAGAAAACTCTTAAGGAGGTGGGGAAATTAGTTGAATACCCTTGGCAAAGGCATGTGAAGACCTGAATGCATGTGAAAGAGGAGAGAGAGAGAGAGAGAGAGAGAGAGAGAGAGAGAGAGAGAGAGAGAGAGAGAGAGAGAAGAAAGAGAGAAAAGAAAGAGAAAGAGGAAGACAGGGGAGAGGAAGAGGTGGGGGGCGATGAGGGAGGGGAGAGAGAGGGAGGAGGAGATGATTAAAGAAAAGGAGATTAGTTCTTTTGCTAAAATTTACTTGGGAAACCCCAAGAAAGAATCAAAGGATAAGGTTTTGAGTTTAAGGCAGGGGTTAGCAAACATCTATATATACAAAAGGCTAAGCAACCATCCAACCAGTAGCTATGATGTGCAATATGAGCATCTGACCACCAGGGGGCAGACGCTCAAGCAGGAGCTGCCAAGCTGCAGTGACTTGGCAGCAGTGGTTCTCAGGTGATGCACCTCAGAACCAGAGAGGAGGGAGCCTGATTCTGGAGTGCATCACCTGAGAACCTCCCTCTTGCAATCCAGGACCCCTAGGGGGATATCAGAGAGCCAGTTTCGACCCATCCCCACAGGCCAGGCCAAGGGACCCCACCTGCTGGAGGGACCCCCACTCACTCTTCAGATATCGAGGAGGGACTGATGGCGCGATGTTGGCTCCAGGGCACGTCCGGCCTGTCTCACCCAGTCCCATCCTGCCGGCCACCTTCTAATTAATTTCTTTTCAATGTGCATGAATCTGTGCACCAGGGCACTAGTTTTCAATAAAAGGCAGAGAGTAAATACTTTTTAGGCTTTGCTGGTCATAAATCTCTATTGCAACTCAATTCTGCCCCATTAGAGCAAAAGCAGCCATACACAATACTTAAATAAATGGGTATGTCTGTGTTCCAATAAAACTTCATTTCAAAAACAAGCAGAAGGTCACATTTGGCCCAAAAGCCAGAGTTTGCTGAAGCCTAGCCTAAGAAATAAAAATGCAGCCATTAGCTGTAAGGAGAAGCTGGCTGAGAATTGGAATAGAAGGTAAGAAACTCACGTGGGACACACTAAATCTGAGAATCCACTAATGTCTATCAAGTCTCTGGAAATGCAAGTCACCTGGCTGGGAGTGAAACTTGGGGTAGATTTTAGCTTCCAACATCGGAATCCATTTGCGTACCAAGCTTTAAGGTTGTTTAGAGAGGTGGAAACATTTCTATAAGATAAAAATATTGGTGTGGAAAACAAAAAAGAGGTAACATCACCACCAACAATAATATGGTACCAACAATAATCATGGTTAGCATTTATATGGCACTTCTTCAAGGTAACCATTATGTAGTTAGGTATGTACCACATATGAAAACAGGATAGCCAATATATAACACCCTAGGAAAATGTTCTGGTGACAGTATAAACATCAGACCAGGCATGAAACAGTCCAAGGACGATTTTAAGTAAGTAAGCAGAACAGCAGAAATAAAGAGGAAAAATTCAAAACAGAGATGCTTGACTAAGAAATTTATTCAAAATATTATTCATGCTTTTACTAAATTCCGCTTTAAAATGAGAAAGTAGACCAGACTAAGCCAAAATTCACACCCTAGTTACAAAATCTTAATGCCACACTTTATGTGACCCAATAAAGTAGCAAAAGCTTTAAGGCAATTTCTCAGAGTATTTTTGCTCTAAACATTCCTTTTTTATAGTCTATTCTTTTTGCTTAGTGAGTTCTGTTCAACGGTTAATAAAAGCCTAAAAAAAAAAATCTTTAGAAATGTATCCAGCACAGGCATATTTATAAAAGCGTTATCTTTCAAAATATGAATGTTGATAAAAATAATATCTTGAGAAATTTTTAAATAGTATGAATTTCCTTGTCTTCATTTTAGATAGCCTTGACATGCTAATTAAAATGAAAATTGAATGTAAAGTTAATTCAAAATAATCATGAATATTTTCTTGAAACATATTTCTAAATTAAAAGACATAGCCTTGTCTAGAGCATTAACTTGAGCAATATAGAAAACATAAGGAAATCTCCCCCTCTTTTCTGCCAAGCACCAAATGCAAATAATAATTTATACAGAATCTTGTAATTCACAGTATCGTAGAAAACACATAAAGATGACAATATCATTCCTTATTTAACAAATGAGAAATTAAGATTCGAGAAGATGCAATGATCAAGACCCAAAGTTCCACACTTTGTGGAATTAGTGCTGGAGTTAGGATGTGTCCCCAGTATCTACTGGGCCCTTGAGTATTACATTTTTATTATATTTCAGAACATATATCAAATGAGTTTGATTGTGTAATAAACACTGGAACAAACATTTCTTGATTAAAAAAGCATAGACATTTATAAATATTATAATATATTAAAGGTCTTCAAAGTAGAAACAAAATTTAATATTTGACAGTCTTGTTTTCCTATGTCTTGTGAACAAAATAATAGTCTACTAGAAAAAGAAGAAATTAGTACATATATATAGAAAAACCTAGTGCTCTACACTATGTATGTAGCAGGGAGGGAGAAAATGCTGCTTCTCCGTATTCATTTCTCTTATTCTTTATTTCTTTCCTGCAAATTGATATTTAATTTACATAAAATATTATTATGTGTCTACAACCAAAATTTGCATTCATGAAGGTGTTTTAAAATATATATCTGCTTTTTAATTTCTAAATGTATATTAATAAAAACTTCCTCACAACACCACAAAGGGTCAAATCAGTCTGCTGCCATACAAAGCAAGCAGAATATTAACTACTCTGCATGTGATTACTGTTTACATTCAAATATTCAAGTGAGAGGATACCTGTTTATAGTGTTTATTTGTGTGTAGGCATGTAGCCATGTGAAATGCATAAAAACAACTTGGCAAATAATGTAAGAGAAAACAACTAAGGATCTGGGACGGTGATATACTTCAAAAACTATGATGCCCTTCCTAAACTCTGAAGCAACCAGTCAAGGAGGACATAGCTTGTCATGGCAACACAACTCTGTCCTGCTACGACTACTGTCAGGACTAATGACTTGGGCAGGGAGCTGCCAAACACTGAAAATAAAGTCACTCTAAGACTTGATGGGATTTATTAATCTGAAAAAATAATCCAAGCAGATATATTCAGATGTGTAACTGGGGATGTCTAGGGACATTCAAATCCAAAGCACTAGAGTACAATATAATCTCAGACTCATAAGACTGAATATTCTTTTAACCAACAAAACTAAAACATATTGCACATTTTATGTCCCATGAGGAGAAAGAATGTAGTCGTCATTGCAACTAGAAAAGAGGAGTCCAAAGTACAGATAAGAACCACTTAAGAAATTCCCATTTGATTCCAAGGTTCAATAGGTTTCCGTTATTGTGATTACTGCCAATACAAGTTCTTGGCTACACTTATAAAAATCACTGTCTATTAGAAAGTCAATAATTCAGCATGTTGTTTTTCATTGTCATTCATTCACTCACCACATGCCACACACACACACACACACACACACACATACCCGCACATACAAAATAAAAAGAGTCACTGATCTCAAGGTGTTCACAGTCCAGTGAGAAATGGAAGATATGGGCCTTAGAACCAAGGTTTTTACATAAAGGGGAAGAAGAGAGAGCTGGAGGTAATAAAGGATGCTGAGAACAGCCCTGCGGGAGAACCAGCATACACTACTATAAAGAGACCCAGGGTACCTGATTATGAAGGAGAGATGGCTTTCTGATAGCAGGGCTGTGTAACCCCGATGCCAGAAGCGGTCCCTAAGGAACCAGATCAGGGTCACAGGGGAGGATGAGCAAGGGAGACCAGAATAGTCATCATCATCCTGCTCCTCTCCCCTATTGCATCCTGTCCCTGTGCTTTCATCTGCTCTATGGACCAAGAGTTTATGAATGGTTTTGTCTGAAGAAAGGATTCTGTGACTTTAAGAAGAAAAAACAACAACTGAGAATAGGACATACAGACCTTTTTCTCCTAGTTTCATTGTGGTATAAACGACAAGGGTGTAGACTTCTGTGAAGAGGTTAAGGATTTAAGGAAAGTTGGTTCACTTTTGAAAGGGAATTTCAATGAGAAGTATAAAAAAGTTTTTAAAAGAAGCTACAGAGAATATAAGTGATGACGGAAAGGGGTGAGACCAAAGACAGGAGGTATGGCAGTACCTCCTACAGAAATCTCAAAATGGGGGACTGGTGCCTGCATGCTCGTTAGACAGTAAGGAACAGCAAAAAGCACCAGGTAGGCCTAACTAGCCTCACGGCTTCAAAGGGAACCAAGTGCAGAGAATTTTGATTCTTCTCTTTCTTTTGTGTCAGCTATTACTTCTCAACATGGTATTTAACATTTTAACTCAATCTACTGCCACCATTTCTAACTGTTATGCAATAAATCTATAAAAATTTCTGGAATAAATGATGACAATCAACAACTTCATCTTATATATGATTTTCACAAATTTATTTACAAAATATTCTGTGCCTATTATGTGTACAATATATACTTAGAGACCTATCAAATATAAAGAGGACTTTGTGTTTCAAGGAATACACATGAAGCTGAAAAAGCTAAGAAAATAAATATGCAATTTGAAGAGCAGCATAAATATACACTGTAAGTAAATGGTTAGTTCCTTAATAAGTAAAAGTAATTTTACAGACTAGTGGATACCAAACTCTTTATCAAGGCACCCACCAGTAAAAAAAGAGGGAAATGTACCCAAATACAAAAACATATACAATTATATGTAACTCATACTCATATATTGTATACATTATAAAGCATACCTTAATATTAATGTTTTTAAATAAAATACTGCAAAAGAAACTAAGTGCTCTGAGTTCGAATAGGGAGGAAACCACTACAGACTCCAATGAATGATTAGTAGAATCTTCTGTTCTCACTGAAAGGCACCAGAATATGCCACCCTAAAATACACCACTTTGACATAAAGATTATTTTGAGCTGAAAGCATTTTAGAAACAGCAGACTCAACTCAGGGGGAAAAAGCTCTCTCCCCTCTGCTATCTGGCTAAAAGCAGGACACAAATTTCTATTTGGAAAGTTACCTACCTCTCCAGTACCAGAAAGTCAACTACTCGAGACAACTCTGACCTGTGTAGCAAACCCTACTACACAACCCTTATTTACCATGTACGTCCTAATCACCTTCCCATAACTCAACACTGCCCAAGAATCCCAAACTCTTTCCTTTGTCTAAAGCAGCGGTTCTCAACCTGGGGGTCACGACCCCTTTGGCGGTCAAACAACCCTTTCACAGAGGTCGCCTAAGACCATCCTGCATATCAGATATTTACATTATGATTCATAACAGTAGCAACATTACAGTTATGAAGTAGCAACGAAAATAATTTTATGGTTGGGTCACAACATAAGTAACTGTATTTAAAGGGCCCGAAGGTTGAGAACCACTGGTCTAAAGTCTTCTCTACTCTTTATCCCCTTTATTAAAATGGTGTATGATTTCCAAATTCTAATTGCCTACTGGAGTCACATTTCTTTGTGAACTCCCATGCTTACTTCAATCTGTGTGTTGTTTTTTCTGTTTTCCTATCATCCGTGTTTTATCAGTTTGATTCCCAGGCCCCAATTGTTGAACCTAAGAGGATACATACAAAGAGGTTGTTTTTTCCTCTCCCTTATATCATGAAGTATAAGGTTCACTGGTATTTTTATGTCACTTTCAGATCCAAGGCAAAGTAAGATGAGTAAAAATTAGTGAAAAGCAGACCCTGTACATTTGATAACTCACTACATTTAAAACTGCATTTAAGACTCATACAGCACATAGCATTTGAATAAATCATTTCCTTCTTGTTAAAGTAAAACACCCCTTCCTTAAAAGGATTAATATAAAAATTAACCTAAAGTTATGAGATATAAATCACTATTATAAAGAATATCCCTATAAAATGTAAAGCAAAAATCTGTAATTAGTTCACCTCCCCTAAGATCACTATCCTGATACTCTACGTTAGGAGATAATAACCTCAACAGAGCAAGGAACAAAGAGTGGAAGGAAAAAGAAATGAAGGGGGGGAAAAAGGAAATTCAAGAGTATATCAGTATATCAGACCTTAATAAAGTGACATTAAGAAGAGACAACCTGATCAGCTGTTACATTTATGCAATTCACCATCCAATTTGCACATCTCATTATACTTTACTCTAATTATCACATGCACCAAGAAACACTAAAATTAAATTACAACATGAATCTATGTTATGATTTGAGGAACAAATGAGGAAAATTTACTGTTCAGTTCTGAACTAAAAAATAAATTAAAGAGAAAAACATTCTGAAGGAAAATGCATACTTGGGCTCTATCCTGAATAAAATTTGAGCTGGAGTACTGTTAGATCCCAACCTTATTTCTGGTGGGAGACCCAGACATATTTAGAATTCAGAATTAGCTAAACAGTCTGAATAAAGAGTTGTTTTAAATAAACACAACTTATAACAGGTTTCTAAACAAAATTTTTTAGTGTTTTACATCTTTTTCAAAGTCACTTTCCCAAAGAGACATTAATTAATATAAAAACTGATCTCTTGGAGCAGGTAACAGAAAAGCAGTTTGTTATTTAAAAAAAAATACGATAAGAAGTGGCCAAGCAAAAGACATTCAGAACTGGAAAAGGTAAGAGTCTGTAAGGGTACTCTCCTTGGCTAATTTACATGATCGTGCAATTGTCAGCTAGAGGACAGAGAGGCAACAAGAACAGATTCATTTCCTTCAAAGCTGCCATAACGGGGTTTCAGCAAGCAATAACTCCTATGTGATCAAGAGGTTTCATAGGAGGAGCAAGGACAAAGAATATCTGTATTTTAGGGCAGTATAAAACACTCATGTTTAACATACTCTTGTTGAATCACTTTCCCAAATTACCTCTACTGTTGAATCACTGTCCCAAATTACCTCTACTGTTCTTATGCCACTGGCTGTTAATACTGCAGTTCTTTCAATAGACATCTCTTCCCTACCAGAAGATAAGCTTCTTGAGGACAATGCCTAGATATGATTCACTTTATAAACCAAAATTAATTTCAGATTATAACAAAGAATAAGAAATCATTTATTTGAGCAAAAGAAGTGCAGCCCAGGAGACACAGATTCAGGTAGCAAACTAAATTGTGCTCTGCTGAGACAAAGGGGAGGCCACTTTTAATAGGGAAAGTTCCCACTTAAGTTCCCAATATTGTCTGTTTTATGTAAATGAGGTATCCAAAATCATCACTTCTGATTGACCTAAATCACACATTCCTGATTGGCCAACATTATGGATCCTGATTGGTAGTTATGGAGTAGTTCTGATTCGATGGAGCAGGTCTTAGTCCATTGGCTGAAAAACAAAAGTTGGAACTCCCTTATAATAGTACTCAGAAGGCTTAAAAGAGCAGGGCATAGCATGGGAAGCAGACAGTTCAGTCTAAGGTTCTTACCAATAAACAAAAGTACATGAGAAGCCCCTGTCAGCAAATGGTTGTTAGGTTCTTATTATTTATAAAATGTGGGCCCTTCTTGACCATGGGGAATCCACCTCAGCAGATTAATTCCTTCTCAAAGTGCTCAACAAATCAATCTTTCTTTTCAGGGTCTACATATCTCAGGGCACATTAAAAATATATAGAGAGAGAAATTTAATAAATGAAACAAAAGCCAATACCAGAACATAACATCAATCATTACAGTTGTGATTAAAAGCCATGCTTTTGTCTCTTAAAATGTAATAAGGCCACCATTAAACAGGAATCTATCTCGTCCATCAACAGAATTCTAGATAACCAATCAGAGGAGCTATATTTGATTGGTGTCAACACCATTTATCTATATTTAAATTTTGTGGTAAGTCATCACAAGATTTTCACTCTCACAAATCATATAGACAATTTTTAAGGCCCTGGCCAGTTTGTCTCAGTGGATAAAGTGCCGGCCTACAGACTGAAGGGTCCCAGTCAAGGTTTGATTCCAGTCAAGGACACATGCCCAGGTTGTAGGCTCCACTGGGGATCGTGCAGGAGGCAGCTGATCAATGATTCTTCTTATCATTGATGTTTCTATCTCTCTCTCCCTCTCCCTTCCTCTCTGAAATCAATAAAAATATATATTTTTTAAAAGAATTACTATCGTAGTCTTCATAATTTTCTTAGTGTTTAAAAAAACATAATTTTCCTCTCAACTCCTTCACTCCTCTAGCACTTCTTCCTAAAAACAAAGTCTATGTCCATTTCTTCAGAAACGTAATAGAGCTGTTGGTTATAATTAACCTGACCTCTGATCAAAAAGGTATTTATCATAAATGCAACATTAAACTTCCCAAGGGCAAAAAAAATTTTTTGCAACAGCAATAAACAGCTGATCACAGACAAATCTTGGAACTGCTGTTCACTCCTAGTTCCAAAAAGAAAAGCAATATCAGTGAAACACATTGCCCTCTATTCTTCTATGAAAATGCCCTAATGCCAACATAAATCGACAAAATAGAAACCATTTGGGGGAAGGACTGTTTCTATTGTTTGCAATGGCAGCCAAAAAATAAACTTCATTACATTAACATCAACCGCATTAGCATCTATTCAAGTTATCAACTGAAACAACCAAGCAAATGACACAATTTAGTAACAAAACTTCAACAAACCATAATATATCATAATATACAACAAAAAAGAGGTTTTCTACCTTATTACCCTTGTCTATTATGAAGAAGAAATTAAAGCTAAACAGAGTCATATGAAAAGGAACTATGATCTCCCATATTAAAGGAAAACTTGCTTAAAATGCCTCATCTATGTTCACTGTTGTCATCATAAGGTACAGCAACAACAAAAAGACTGTAGATATACATGAAAAACAATACGTAGGACTGCCACAATTAAGAAATTTTTATATAATAAACTAATAATTATTTAACAGTCACTATGAAGCAATATGAAATACCTGGGGTCAAAAATTATATATACTTAGGCTGAAGAGAAAAAAACTTGGTTGGCTTTAACTACATAATCCCATATAATTATCCATTTCACTTCATCTGTACAAAGCATGTTATTCTCGGGATGGTTTTTAATTATTAAGACTACCCCATATCTGTGGTTAATTTAAAAGCTCCATTTCCTTCTAAAGATTTTTGTCTGAATTCTACTAAAATTAATCTATCAATTAGTCCTTTAAGTAACGATATATGTTATTAATGCTCACAAGTGCACAAACACACACACACACAGAAAATCAACTTTATTAGGTTGATGTTACCATTTTAATCTCAGAACTAATTAACAAAGTACTACATATCTATATATTTGTAAATATATTTTTATTGATTTCAGAGTGAAAGGGAGGGGGGAAAGAGATAGAAACATCAATGATGAGAGAGAATCATTGATTAGCTGCCTCTTGCACACTCCACACTAGGGATCAAACCCACAACCCAGGCATATGCACTGACCAGGAATCAAACCGTGACTTCTGAGCCACATTGGCTGGGCTTTCGCTATATTTTCATATATTAGAAAATGGCAACTGTATGTTCACAGAAATAACATAAAAATTCTTAATTTGAAGCTAGAAACAAAAGAAATGGGACCTGAAAGAAATAAGAGAATTAAATTCAGAATTGCTGCAGAAAAATTGCTATGGAGGAACAAGTTATAAGTGGAGCCATGGCAGCTGCTGTTATCAGTGCTTTAATTAAAATTTTAAAATAAGATGTGTGAATGTACTACCTTCTCAGTCCTTCTAAAACATAAAGTCAAATTATGTAGTTTGATCCCAGTAGAGGGGTGAGAAGACTAAGTGAACAGAAAAACATATTTCTGTTTCTTCCCCAAAATCCACAGAGAACACAAATATACATGTAAATGAGAGTAAATCCAGAGGATTGATGGAAAACTAGGAGAGGGACCATGAGCAACCCAAATCATGGAGAAATTTGCGTAAAAAGGAAAAGTGACTTTTCTATAGAAAACCCAATCAATCACAGATGAAAGGAGCTGAGAAAAGCTGACCTACATAATCAAAGATGGACAATGATTTGACTCTCCTTGCCCTCAGAGCAGTTGGCTTCCTGAGTTATCTATAAGTTAAAGCCACAGTACAGTTCAAATATAAAAGTAGGAGGTCTTGTAAATGGGCCTGTACACAAATAGTCAAGCAGAGCAGTGCCACCAAATGACAAAGCACCACAGGGTCCCAAAATCCGCACACTTCAAAGACCAGCAACTCCCCTATTCCCAAAAGAAATCCATTTCTCAGCCAATTGTAATCTTGTGGTCCTTTTTATCATTCCTTAAACAAACAACTAGTCAAAGCTCCTAAAATAGAACCACATTTAGACGTAACAAACTGAGAAAAAAAAGCCAAATGATCATCTCAATCATCTCAATAGAAACAGAAAAGGCATTTGACAAAATTCAACATCTATTCATGAAAAAACTCTCAGCAAACTAAGATTAGAGAACTTCTTCAAACCCACAAAGAAATGTGTAATAAAACTACAGCTAATATCATGTTTTTCTCCCTAAAATGAGGAACAAGGGAAGGATGTCCACCCTCATCACTTTTATTCAAAATTGTCCTAGAGACCTTAGCTAGTGCAATAAGGAAAGAAAAGGTAATAGTTGGAACAAAAAGAAATTAAAAGGGTTTCTTCACAAATAAAATGATTGAGCATATATAAAATCCTAAAGGAATTTAATAAAAAGCTATTACTGATAAGTTAATTTAGCAAGACAACAGGATGCCAGAGAAAGTGACAAATATTGAAGATAGGCAAAGACTCCCTCTATAAGAGGAGTTCCTGAGGAAGAAGAAACTGCCCTAAAGCAGTGATTTTAAACCTTTTTCATCTCGTGGCACACATAAACTAATTACTAAAATTCTGCAGCACACCAAAAAATATATTTTTGTCGTATAATTTTGACTCATTCACACCAGGCAGCTATCATGGTGTTGGCTAAAGTCATTTTTTTATTTGGCAATGTAAGGCAAAAGAGGTCAGTGCCCCTGACCATATAAATAGTCTGGTATTGCCGGTTCTAAAAATTCTTGTGACACACCTGTTGAAAAATCACTGTCCTAAAGCAATGGAACAGGACAAACCACTAAAAATTATAATTCAAGCAAACTGACAAATCTTTTTAAATATCTGACTATATATTAAAAGATTATACTATGTATGATTATTGCCCCAGAACAATCAACACCAAGACACATTGTAATAAAATTGTTGAACTCTAAGGAAAAAGAAAAAATTCCTTTGGTCAGCTAGACAAAATGAACACATGACTTATAAGGGGAGAAAACTATCCTGTCACCAGAATTAAAGAAAATGTGCCCCAAGGATTTTATATCCATAAAAACTGACTTTCAAGTATAAAGGGCACTAACTGTGAACATGACACAAATATGGGGCTGCTGTTCCCAGGAGCCCTGCCTAAGGAACCTAGTAAGAATGGCTTCAACATCAAAAGTAAATAGAAGGCTATTTACATAATGTATGTAAAGCAGTAAATATGTATTTGTGAGATTGAATACCATTATAAAGGAGAAACTGAGTATGTACTGGCTCTTTGATTTGACAACGTAAAATACAGAACTCCCATTAAAAATATTTGGGAGGAAAACAGGGATAGTATTTGTAAAAAAACATGTTTACTTTTTTGGTAATCATGATTGGTGGTGAATGTACATGTCTTTTTATTATTCCGAAAATACTGTACACGTAAAGTGGAATAAAGCTAATAAGGACTATGGGATAATTCTAATTCTATCTTCCCCTAGGTTCTTGAGAACTAGGATTCTTGGTGAAGTACCCAGATGTGAACATGAAATGCCATTTCCCTTTTTTTAAAATCTTTACTGTTGGAAGTATTACATATGTCTTCCTTTTTCCCCCAATGATTCCTTATAGCCCACCCCCAACCCCCACATACACACTCCCCAAGCCTTTACCACACTATTGTCTGTGTCCCTGGGTTATGCATATATACATAGAAGTTCTTTGGTTGATCTCTTCCCACCCACCCATCCACCTCCACCTTCCCTCTGAAACAAAACTTCTTAGGAAATGGCTAATACCAAGTCTGGGCAGGAAATGCAGAGGATGAACTTAGAACACCTTATGCCACCTAAGAGTAACAAAGCTATCAAAGAGTAACAGAGTCATGTCAAAAAGAATTCAGAAGCCAGCCTGAAGGAGTCCACAATAACCAGACACAGGCGATTTGAACTTGGATAAGAACTTGCAATTGACTGAAGTCCAAGTATGTTTAAATTAATGAGCTTCTAATCATATTTTTAAAAATATTTTTAATCCTCACACAAGGATACATTTTTATTGATTTCAGAGAGAGAGGAAGGGAGAGAGATAGGAAAAAAACATCTATGTAAGAGAGAAACATCAATTGGTTGCCTCCAGTACACACCTGGACCAGGAATGAACCTGGAACCTAGGTATGTACCCTGACTGGGAATTGATCCCACAACCTTTTGGTGCATGGGATGATCCTCCAACCAACTAAGCCACACTGGCCAGGCCTAATCATGTGTATGTGGTTTGTTGTTGTTGTTGTTGTTGTTGCTGTTGTTGTTGTTGTTGTTTTAAAAAAAGAGGTTTTCAGTAACCTTTTGAGAATGACAGGAAAATAATTGCTTATTTTAGGAACTGGGTAAATAAAAAAATTTAAAATTTATTCTGCCTTTCTCTATGAACTCTACCAATGAGTTGCTAGCAGATGAAGGGAAAAGTCTCCTTATAAAATTATTACAGCTAATTTATGACAATAAGATGATAAAACTGAATATCACCATTGTCCAAACTCCACAGAATTAGTAAATCTGGGCATTAAGCATCAATGGCTGGTAGCATCATAAAACAAGAAACAACCACTCATTATGACCTTTTGATAAAGGATGCAATACAACACAAT